TTTTTTTTTCTTTTTAAAATTTTTGGTCTTAGTTTTTGAATTTCTGAATCTGTATACAAATGCTCACCTAAAGATATTTGATTCAGTATTGTAATTTGTTTATGGTTTTGGTTTTGTTCACATGGGGCTGTCATCACCTGAAATGCTTTGATTCTAATTTCTGTTTTTGTTTCATAGTAGCTTTTCATTGATAAAGAAAATATGTTTGTATTTGTGAACGTTTTGTCTATTTGCCATAGTTTATGTAAGTCCTGATTCAAGAATGCCCTTTTCTGTTGTTGAAGCAGAGTGCAATTTATTTAATAGATGTTTTTTTGAGGAGTGCTGTGGGGGAGGAGTTGTGTATTTTTGTTCTCTCATATAAGAGCCTGAGTTCCCAGTCTTATTTCTTTTCCTACTAACACCCAGTTTTCAAAAGTTGTCTCTTCTTGCCTTTGTACTATCTTCTACCCTTACAGTATTCTTTTCCAAGACCTGTATTCACAATAAGTCTTCTCCTTATAGTGCAGTGCTGTGATCTCCCAAAACTCTTTATTAAAATTTTTGCACTTAGTGCAATCCCCCCCTTCCCTCTTCATGTATTTTTTCCTGAACTTCTTTGGACTTGCTGTGGGAGCCCCACAGTGGGATCTATTGGAAAGTGGTTTATATTTTTCTTCCTAAAGGTAACTTGAAGTTTTATAGTGTTCTCTATCCTCTGGCTGAAAACATGGGATTTTTTGGTTTTATTTGTTCTTAATATTAGTCTATCTAGTTTTTTCAGAGGCTGTATGGGGAGATTCAGTTTTAGGCAACTGTCAGTACTTTTGTTCCCTGCAAGCCTGGAAAATCTCCTTCTCAAGAACAATTAATATTGTTTTGATACTTTAACTACACAAAGGTAATTATGGACATTTTCTTGAATCAAGAAAAGTATTGTGGCATGTGACATGGTGTTTAACCTTTTAAAATGGCTGGGTTTTGCAAATAAGGGACTTTGGAATTTTATTCTTTCAGCTAACAGTATAAATTTCTACAATAGATTAGTTTTTACCATTTTTCATGTAAACTGAGTTCCAGATTGTTCTTACACCTATGTGTGGGATGTCTATAAAGTTAGGTTAAAGTTACTACATAATATCTTTTAGTGCTTTAATGAAATAGTGAATTATTGTTACTTGACCTTTTGAAAAGGTCAGTAGTACATTTTTTTT